TCTGTGTTAATAATTTGACATTTTTCATTTTCGTATCGACAGTGAGCATTTCTTGCAGAGCAATTTACATCGTCTTTGTTTAAACTGTACTCTTATAGGAGTACAGTTTAAACAAAGACGATGATTCAACACTACTGTAGTGGTGTAAGGAATCTACTACTAGTCTACTTTTATAACAGCTACTGCGTAATGAAACCCAGTTTAGGTCTTATTGTGGCACATTCAAAACCCAAAGCCAAAAGCGTTACGTTCAACACTAGCATGACATTTGACTTCGCTTCTCAAACGTGTTGCATTTAATCTATCTCTTTCTGGAACGTGATTCAGCAAAAAGTAATAGAAATTTGGCTATCAGCGCTTCGCGGTAAAGACAACGAGTTAAACTTACATTCTGATGCAACTTGTTTTATACGACCTTGTTACCCCCCTGTGAATTGCTTTTTGCTCCGATAGTACATACAAAAATACAATTTTTCCATGGAAAGTGTTCTGCAAAAAATGAATCGATCATATTAAGAATGTCCTTATTCGCAGTAAAAGTTTTGAAAGACTTACAAAATAAAATATCTTCAAATATTGCATCCTGGAATTTTTCACGCACAAAAACAAGTAACACAATAAACAAGTCCAGTCACGTCTGTCGATTCATCCACTTGAATAGTTTGAATGAGTTGGTCCTAAATGTAACGGGCAATATCTTTAATTCTCTTGGAAACTGTGTCATTTGACAAAGGAATGGTCTGCCTTTTTTTTAACTAAACATACAAGAAGCTATTTCTTCCGCTGTTGGAAGAATTGAATGACGCGCCTATTGTGTGAGCTTTTCCGACTTTGGCAATTTCGAGGCTTACTTTGTAAGATGATTTAAGTGTAGACTACTTTCAGTTTCTTCTACAACAGAAAAATGCTTAATTCCTGTTTTTTTACTACTAAAGTGTTCCAAGAGACGTTCAAAATAGTTATGAGCTTATTTTTTAAATACTCACGTTTTGTTTCAAAGTGTCGCCGTAAAAAAGTTTTAAGGGAATTTTGTGACTGTTTAACAATTAACATTATTTTAGTTTCTGCTGAATCCTCCTGTTTACTCATATTGAATGATGAATTAGTCGTAGATATAGAAAAAAATCGGCTCCAGACCACGTTACACTTCTTCTTAATCATCCATTTAACTACGTTTCAACACACTTTAGAAAACGTTCATTTAACTCCACGGTAAATTAAAGACTAAAAATAACTTTAAGCACAGCAAATGAAATAAATCACAACAAATACATAGAGCAATAAGAAGGCACATTCAACATTTACTTATTTAGAATGCGTTTTGACTGGGTTATCAGCTGTTCGGGTAGGTTCGGCTCTCAGGTAGAGAAAGAAAGAGATAATTGACAAACGTGTACAGACATGAACTACAGCAATGCGTCTTCATCATTCAGTTCTCAGAAATAAACAAGTAGTAGTGTTGACAACTTAACGATTTTCTTACTAGATTTAATGACTTTCGAACGTACCCCTTCCCAAAATGTTATCACATGTTGAAAGCCGCTATGCTACAATATGTAACTTACACTTAGAAACATGTTAGAAAAATTACACTTGCATTTTTGTCTTCCAACCTCCTATGTAGCGTAGTTTTTGGAAGCCGAAACGATTTTATCGCTTTCTATCAACTCGTCTTTCTAACAGTAAAGATCGCAGCTTTCAAAAATTCAGTAGAAAATAAATTCCTATTAAAAAGATTTAGAAAAATATCCTCAAACTTCCCTTCGAGTTGAAAGCATGGAATAAACTCAAACCGAAATAAATTCCTGCGTGGGACTTTGCACAAGCAAACGAACACAGTATGCCATTTGATTGTGTAACTTATGGAATTTCTCTCGTCCTCAAATCCGTCCTCATTCATACATCGATTTATTAAGTTGGACTTAAGAAACTAAAACATATGTATTACAATTTGTACCATGTAGATTATTTTTTTTTTTACCAAAATTTGTATCATAAAGAGGCCCACTTTTTGCCCATTTTGGGTACTAATTCTATTGCGGTCTGACCAGCTGTGGCTGGATAAGAAACGAAAACGATCTTCTTCCGATCCATATTATATCCATGAAAAATTATCAGGATTTTAATCATATCTCTAATTATTTCTACAAATATCCAGGTAATTCGATTTAAAACTTGGTAATATTTCATTAATCAACGCAAATAGTAGATATCAGCATCAACTTCAATAAGAAATTGCCATTTTTAAACTCTGATCAGCTATATTAAATATAAGATTTGTATTTAGTTATTTTATGACTATTCAAATGAATTAATGATAAAGTAGAACGTGAATTATTTTCTTTTATAAATAAATAAATAATTTCAAATTTTATTTATAAAATACAAACTAAGTATTGTACTGTATAATGTAGGTGTACTATTGTTTCTTAAATAAAGGAAATTTCAACACGATTTCTACAGTTATATAACGTATAAATTATTTTTATTAAATTATATAATTACATACTTGTATGTTTTGTAACCTTATTTAATTTATGATATTGAACAAGTAAAAAGATAATGAATAAAAATTCCGTTAGCTTACCCAAATCAGTTTTATTTCATGCATATAAATAGACATTATTACTCTGAAAGTAAGACACATGGCCCTAATTAAATAAGTAAATGTATTGTACCGTTCTAATTAAATATCGTGTAATATAAAAAATCGAATATGAAATTAATTATATTTTATTTAATTTTTATTTTATGATTAAAACTTAATTAAAATTCTATTGACAAATTGATTTTTAGAAATTATTTTTGAATTCATTCAAATAATTTTAGTAAACTATAACAATCATCAAAAATAAAGAAGCAGATAATAAATGAAGGATACTTATTTTATGACGATAAGCGCAATTCACCTTTTATCAGCCATTGTCTAGTCTAGATTTATCTTTCTGTAACGAATAAAGCTAATATATATATATATATAAGATATTTTTAAAAGTAACGTGCAATAATACCAAGTTTAATATATATCACTTTATAAACTAAAGATGCATTTAATGTTTTTTGTGACTAAAATTGTAATTTTAGTTATTTTGCACTCTGGGATTAAAAAATTATTCGAAATTTTAAGCAATTTGAAATATGAACTTGAAAACTTCTGTAAACAACAATTATTATTATAATGTATCTTTAATAATTTACTAGGTAAACTATAGTTTATTTCTTGGTATATTTTTGCAAAAAGTAACAATTTCACTATTTGTGTAAATAGTCAGCGAATGTGAAAATTTATCTCGGAGATAACCGACAAAATTGTAAGGATTCAGGTAGGATAAGACTGTAAATTGTTATTATACTGAATGGAGTGGGTTTAATCTTTAAAGCTGTAGATAAACGATTATTAAAATACTTTGTCTGTACTTTTTTCTGCAAATTATATCAGTTATAGTATTTTATTTATTATTTTTTTGCAAATTATATCCATATTTAATACATAAGCCCGAATCTTATTACGAGTTCCTTGCAGAGTTGCAAAGTATGATGATCACCAAAAACAAACAAATTCTTAGATTAACTTATAATATTATAATGAATATAATAAAAAAGAATATAGCCTAATGGTTTATTGGAGTATATAATATGCTTATAATTGTTTGAAAAGTTGATAAAACTTTCATGTAATGAAGAAAATTGAAGCCAAAGTATTAATCACGTGATAAAGTAAGATACCGAAAGATAGATAAAAAGAACAAAAATATGTTTGGCCTCGGATAGAACCTGAAATCAGTTAACGAATATTATTAAAATTAAAGGACTATTATTAAAATTATTTGCAGGATAAGATAAAAGCTCCATTAGAAAACAGGCTAATTATGTCTTAATGGATAGGAAGTTCAAATATTCGGCACTTACCGAAAGATCTACGCTTACTTGAACTAAATACATTTTTACTGTACGAATAGACCATTAAGACGGGTTGGAGATTTTTCTCCGTGTCCGAAGAAAACTTAGCGGCCGTAGTGGTTCCTACTCCTATAAAATGTAATGACATTTTTACTAATAGAAAGTACAATATCTAAGACTGTTTTTTATTATGACAATGAAGAAACAATCTGCGTATTTCATTTACTGGAAAAAATGGCCGAATCTACTCCCGGCCACCATATAAGCGCTCGACGGCTGTTTTATACGAACAAAGATTGACAGTTGGAATGCAATTTGCTTAATATTGAAACCGTAATCAGCGCTGTTTTTAAACAGAGTATAAAAGTATCATCTTAAAACAATAACAACAACAACGAAAAAGGATACTTCGATCAAGTTTTGGATAGCCGAAAATCTGCAGTTTGTATTTCTTTATATTATCCATTCCGTCTTTTCTTTTTAAATATAATTTTCTAAACGTAATCCCCAATTACTTCTTTTTTAAACTGTACAATATCCAGGTATCATTATGTAATTTCATAACTGAAAGAATAAACAATAACATCGAAATCTTTCAAAACCTGAGAACGATATCAAAATGTGACAGAAAAATCAAATATTTTCAAGAACAACTTTTTCTGGATCTAGAAAACAATTCGTCAGCAAAACACAATTAAAAATGAGTCTGCAAATTTAATAACAGCCCATTCATATTTAAAATCCTCAGAACACGCTTATAGAACAATTTCCCGGAGTGTAAATAAAACTAAATACTTTTTCATTAAAGAAAACGAACCGCGGCAGTAGCACATCACGATCGCATATTACTAATAAAGAACTAAATATAGAATCGTAGCTAAAACTATAAATTACTTTAGACGAATCTGTGGTAATTAAATTTAATTAGAATATCCGAATGCAATGTTTTTTTTTTTTAAAATAGTTAATTTAAAATATTCAAAAATGATTAGAAAGATCCGGAAATAAACACATTTTATCAGTTTTAATGACACGGTGTTTATTAAATCATCTCCAACATTTTCTGTTTAGTTTTTCCGCGTGTTTATTTGTGTTTGATGTCGTTGATAGATAAATTAATCGAGTGCAGATAGTTTGACTTTTTCGAAAGGAGTTGGTTAATATATAAGAAAAGTTTGTTTTATTATTTTTTTTTATGAGTGAAAAAATGAATTGACCGGAATATATTTAGGCGTAGTAAAGCCGAATTTATTGGCTTTGTCATAGAAGAATAAGAAAAAGAAAGGAAAAATTTGCAAGAAAGCGAGGTGAGTTGGTCGAGTGCAGAAACAGGGATATAGACGAGAGGAAAAGCGTATGACTCGATTGACGAACTCCAATCGCGCGAGAGCGACATTCATAATATGGCGTCTGGCGTCGTTGCAGGCTTGGTCGTCTGCATCGCATTTCATTTCTTACCTCAAATATCGGGAAAATTGGATGAAGAGACTCGAGTCGTAAATATAACTACTTCTAATCATTCGGCCAATTCTTCTTGGCATTCGGTTTTATCAATTCCGGCCGATCGAACGGTTATTTTGTATCTTTACGGTAAGGGGTTCGGCGACCGGACTAAGTTCGCCTTTACCTCTTTACCTGGAAAACTGGGAGAAGAATGCGTCGACGATGATCGACATTTATTGTCCAAGAATAGAAGGTTGTCGAATTCCGCTAAAGACACGGAGACCGAATTGGAAGTATCGTTACCGCTTCTTCCACCCGGCACTTACTACTATTTGTGTGTCAAAAACCCTCCGGTATCGTCTGCTGGCTTCGTTAAAGAAGCTTCTCCCTGGATTCATCAAGGATCCTTCGTCAAAATAAGAACTTTCTCCGAAGAAATCAGGTAAGATCCCCATAAATACACTCCATTTCACTTAAACAGACAAACAATAAACAATTCTAATCCAAGAAATATTATTCGTGTATTTAACAAGCAGCACACATGTTTAAAATATCTATTGTCTTTACTTCTATCTCAACTTTTCTATTAAGTATATCTGATATTTTAAAAGTTGTGAAATTATTCTTTCCAGTCTACAATTTTCATTCATTTACCTACACATGTTTGTTACTCGTCTCAAATTGCACAGGAGAATGTGTGTTTAGGTTTATGGTAAATTTTAATTGGAGATTGTGTTATAAATTCACTTTTGATAAACTTTTTAAATGGTAAATAATAGTAACGTTTGTGAAATAAAATACTACTAATATTTAATGCCAAATGACGGTAGGAAATATCCGATGGCTTTTATTATATCGATTATAGACAGAGATTTTTAGACCGATTTCTAGGACTACGGAATTATATCCGTTTTAACTACGGCACTGGGAAATTAAATTATAAATGTGCTTACGGATACGAGTGGCCAAAGATGTAGATTTTTAATAGCCGATCGTGTTAAAAGAATCAATTAATTCCTTTGTTTTATTATTGTTATGTTGTTATTTTACAGTTATTTTTTTTTAACTTTTTACTATAATATGCTGCAAATATCATTGTTTTCTTGTTATAATGTTTTTGTCGACGAGCATACTTTGTTTCTTAGTAATTAAGGGCTTAACCTTGCCGAATGATGTTGCTAGCTTGATAACTTAATGCTTTGTCGATAATTTTTGATGAGAATAATTTTTTTAGGCACGTAAAGTCTGATAAAATACAAAAAACAGATGAAATAAATCATTAATTGTTTAGCTTCTGATTTCTCTATTTTTTAATATTTTTGAAATATATGACTTTATCTTTGTCATTTCCTTGTTAGATTCTTTTATTGTCTGACTTGTAAATCTGAATTTTGTTACTTTTTAAAATTAAACATATTTTATCATAAAACAATACGGCATAGTAATATTGATTGCAGATCTACAATATATTATTCCTTAATGTTTGTATTGGTGTGGAGCCTCTCTGCGAGAAACGCCATGTAAACCATAAAAGGTATGTCTGGGGCTGGGTATGTGGGTACATAACGTAAAATTGAAGATTAAGATTTTTGTATTTCCGAATAACAGACCCATGCAAAGTTTGCAATTGCTTTTTCAAAAGAATATCAAAACTTGGAATAAATTTTGTGGCACCCAATATTAAAACCTCCTTTTAATATTTGTTGGATGGTGATGTTTGAGTTTCATTTTATATATTTTATTTTCAAAAAGGTCTGTATGCAGACATAGAAAATATTTCTTGTGTGAACTTAAAACTTAAAATTCTTTTATGACAGAGATTTGTAAAAATTTAACAAACTCTTCTTTAAATAGGTTTCTTTAAAAATGATTTGTAACAAGATCTATGAATTCTAGTTGACTTTTCAAAAGTTTATACTAAATGCTTTTGACTAGTTCAAATGTCAATGATAAAACATGTGGGTTAAAACAAACTATGCGAGCTGGATAAATGTGGGACGTAGCTTTGAGGGCTGTAGGTTGGAAATTTTCCGATATGGAGAACTATTAGATCTCGAATAAAACGAATAAACATTTTCTTGTATTTATTATCATAATTTTGACACATTTATCATTTTTTAAACTATACAAAAATTAAGAATTTATAGATTTACATTATAAGTATTACTTAATATGATTAAAAATTTTACAAATAAAAATATGTGGAAAATGTCAAAGCACAGTATTAGTGTGCTATTTCATATTTCATAGTATGTAGAAGTTTTAGGTTAACATACAAAACTGTAAGTTTAAATAAAATATTTTCTTGTGTTTTTTAGAATGTTCAAAATATTTTATTCTGAATTAACTGAATAAAAAGAATAAATATTTGAATATTTCATTTTCTAAAAATTATTTATAAAAGTCACAAATATGACCTAATACTTTATTATGTCATATTTGTGACTTTTTAAATTTATAATACTTTATTGTACACATGGTAATTATGAAAGTAGATAGAATTAATCACAAAAATAATATTGATTTTGTTTAGTCATATAATTAACAATAATAACAAACTTAATCTGCCTTTATTTATTTTGTTTTTTAGTCTCTTTAACCATAATTTTTGTTATATTTTTAATTATTCTAATGATTATTTTTAGTTTTTAAGAAATACTTTTAATAAAGCTTTAAAATTTTTGAAACTTACATTTTAAATTTATTAAAATTTTTTTATTTTTAAATGTAATATGATTATTTTGATATTTTCATCTTTATTTAATTTTATAAAAGATTAATTGACTACTTATGTAAATTTATTGTTGAATGTTAGAAATGAAAGCTACTATACTATTTTTAATGGTATCAATTTAATTTCTTCTATTGATTATTCAGAAATTATATTTAGAAGAATCTTTCCGATCAGAATTTCATGATTAATGATCATTGTAGTTAATTGATAAAATGTCCAAGACAATAAGTATACACTTAGAAAATTTACAAAAATTTCAGACTTATTTCCTGAGGTATGTAAAAGGACACAATGTAAAAGCATTTTTAATGTATTGTCCTTTTTAGAATTTTTGTAACTTTTCTAATTGTAATATCAGTAAAAAGCTTTTTAGAAACATTAAATTTATATTAATGCAAGGAATAGATAATTAATTATTGTTAATATTGTATAGCTTAGTTGTATAATAATAATCCACGAAAATCTTTCTGTACAAGTGTTATGTTCTTAACTACTCCATTAAGAACATAACACTTGTACAGAAAGGTTTTCGTGGATTATTATTACTCAACGAAGTGTTAAGTTGTTGGAAGTCGTTTTGTGTTAGCTTAGTTGTATTCATTTCTATTATTTTATCAGTACTGAAATTGATATAAAAATAATTCTTTGTCATTGATGCAGAACTTAATTACTAGTAAAATTTTCATCTCATTTATGAAAAATATGTATCTGAAAAACAACATCTTTCTTTTAAGTTGTATAATTATATTTACAATAGAAAAGAATATATTCAAATATCAGATTTTTAACAACCTTTTTTCATGCCAGAATAGAATAATATTTGTATTTTCTATTATTTATTTTAATGTTTAATTATATGAAATGAAAATATGGAATTTTGTGCTTTATAAACATCATTTATATTTGCTTGATTAATAGTTATCAAACTTAAAAAGCTTTTGAAAAAAATCAAAGAATTCATTGTTGATTTTCTTCATAGTTTGGAAAATTATTCAACTATGAATGTTGTTTACATATGTTTTTGTGTTTACATGTTCCACTTGAATACTATATATGAATAATTTCTATATAATTTGTTTATTTTCTATGCTTTGAAGTTGGCTACAAATAAAGAGAAATTGAGTTAAAATTTTTCTTCCTGATTGGAACTAATGCTAAATGAATAAAATTTTAATATATTGGTTAATTATTTGTTTTTTAGTCTTATATTCTTTATAGTTGTGCTATTTCTATTTAATATAAATGATATTGATACCATATTTGCCTGATTTGAAGAACTAAAAATTGATATATGTGTGTTTAATTTTTATAAAAGTAATTAAAATAATTTCAAGATTTTTATATAGTTTCACTAGCTGAAGATGAAATATTTTTAAAACATTTGCAGCTGCATTATTACAAAAGGAAAATACTAAATATAAAAACATGACAAAGCAATTAATGCATTATGATTTTTAAAATAATATTTTTATGAAAGAAAATATGATAAAAAATAAAACAAAAATTTTCACTCATATTTTAATTTGTAGCCAAATAAACAAATCTTTGTTTTCATCATATTTTTTATTTTCATTTGAATGAATTTAAATAGAATTTAATTTAAATTTTTAATACTGTATTGTATAAAGAATAAGTATTGATAAAAATATGATTTTAAAATATAAATATTATAAGTTATAAATTATTTCCATGATGATTTATAGGCAGATGTAGCTGAAATCAAACTGGCTAATTTCATTGTATGACCAATGTTTTTGCATAATTACTATATTATACAGATGTAATATGGAATCTTGATAATTGTTTGTCATTTGCTCAATACTGTATTCATTGTTTTACCAGAGTAATTCATGTATCACTTTTTTTAAAGCATGAACTTTTTTTTTATTATTTATATTGGTATTATATTCAATCCATTATTGTATTTAGAAAGCAATTCATTTAACCTTAAATTTATCCTGAAATTTATTACATATGCAAATACCTAACGTTGTCATTGCACAAATAAATATTTTATTTATATATTATATGAGGTGTTTCTTTTTCAGAATTAGAATTTAAAAGATTTTCTTATTGTATTGCAAATATTTGAAATTCTGACTTTTGCAATTTAATGTATTAAGGCATAAAACCTAATAATGTATACTGCATATATATTATCAGATTGTGTGATAAATTTTTTGGATTTTAAAATCAGTATTATTAGTAGTTCTTTAATTAAGAAAGAGGAATTGTTTTTCTGAAGTTGCCTGAAATGTTCTTGCTTTCATTTTTTTTATGTTTTAATCATATACACAGAGTAATTTTATCATTTTTATAATAATTTGTTGGTTTTTCTTTTGATTTTTTGTATTTATCATTATGTAGACATCTTCTGGAAACTGTACAGTAATTTAAAATTTATTGACAATAGAAAAATTATAATTAATGAGTGTTTTTGATATACTGAAGTCTGCAATATCATGCGTTATTTTACTGTGTTTGGTAAGTTACTGAAGACTACAGCTTTATATTGTACTGTTGTGAAATTTTTTGAATTCATTTCCCATAATAATAAATTTAACAGTATAATATTAAAACTTTCATATAGAGCTGGTTGTAATAAATTACTGTACTATATAGTCACTTCTCATTTTTCATGTCATTGGAGAATACGCACCGCTAACTCAAACATTTGTAAACGCTGACAACTTTCAACCCCTATTAGT